CTTAATGGAGGGCCGCTTATAATAGAGGTTCGACTGTATTTAGGTTTAAACTAAAAGTCAATTTCCACAATCACTTAAAATGTATTTTGCTATAATGTAACATTTGGGGTATTTTGTTGATTATTATTGCAGTAATTTTGTAGTAAAAGGATCCCATTGTATAAAATGGGGAATGTGGCTACAATTTCTTCAGGAAATTTATGAAATTCGTTATGATAACAGACGTCATTTGTTTTTCGCACGCAGTATTTTTACTTTTCAAAACTGCAACTTCCTTTCAATTTTCTATTTTCAAATACACCCAATAGAAAGAACATACAGCCCCACAGGTCAAGTTGCAGTCAAACGTGTGATCGTTCCTATCATTGCACATCTTGAATCAGTCAATTGAAAGTTTAGGCTGCACCACACATATAATACCCACTGTTTTGCTTAATTAACTTACCAATTGTCAACAACAACAATAATAGATGCTATAAATAGTCCAGTCAAAACTATGCGCATGCAGATACACGTTTACACTTACGTTGCGTACCACATGTTTTTCAACAATTAAATAAAATCTTATGATACACAATTGCAGGATAGAAAGAAAATAATCGAAAAGACAGTAGCCGGGTCTAAAAAAATGTTAAAAACCACAAACCGCGTTTATTATCCTGGTCTCAATTGCCTTGAATTCTTGAGAGGCGTTATTGCTAAGCGCATTGGTGTATTCTTCTTTCAAACGCAAGTTCAAACGATAGCGTGTATAACCTGGAATAGAAAATAATAAAACAATAAATTAAAACATATTTCAACGACCTACTCTCAACTTGGCCTGTAGCTCAGTCGGTTGAGCATCGGACTAGTAGACTAGTAGGTCGTGGGTTCGAACACCAGCCGGGCCAAGTAGAGCTTCTCTACTTGTCGGGTATGGTTAGTTACTCGGAGTAGCTCCCAACACCACCTTAAAACAGATGTTAAAAAAGATCTGCTGGTTCAAACTCCGTACAGGCTATCAACAATTTAGTTGTAAGTGAAGCCAAAGCTAGGTTTTTAGATTCTGAGAGTGTCTCTAAATTTCAAAAGTGCGCACAAGAGGCGTAGCCAGCCACAAGCAAGTGGGGCGGGGGAGGGGATCGTCTGGTTTGGAATATATTTCTATTTTTAGGGTGGACAAAACGCTATTTCATGAATTTTAGACACGCTTTACGATAATCAGAAAACCAATAGTACTATAGGTGATCAAATCTACCAATAGTACTACAGGGTGTATAAAAAAAGGAGACCTTTAGAAATCAAGCATATTGTTAAAATTTGAATGCCTTTTCAATTGCACATATGCTGAACCATAGTGCGTGAAATATTGATGAGGTGCATATATTAGAAAAAGGAGACCTTCAGAAATTGAAATAACGTTTAAACAAAAGATTGTCTGCTCCTGGGAACAATCTGCCATGCATACCGTACGTAGATCTCATGTTACGCACTCGTGGGCTTAGCAAAGTGCTCCAGGATTCAAATTATAACAAAGGTTGATTGCTAAAGAGCTCGAGGTCTCCTTTTTCTAATATATGCACCCCATCAATATTTCACGCACTATACAGGGTGTATATAAAAAAAGGAGACCTTTAGAAATCAACCATATTGTTAAAATTTGAATGCCTTTTCAATTGCTGAAACGTGGTGCGTGAAATATTGATGGGGTGCATATAATTATTAGAAAAAGGAGACCTTTAGAATTTGAAATAACGTTTAAACAAAAGTTTGTCTGCTCCTGGGAACAATCTGCCATGCATACTGTACGTAGATCGCATGTTACGCACTCGTGGGCTTAGCAAAGTGCTCCAGGATTCAAATTATAACAATGGTTGATTTCTAAAGGTCTCCTTTTTCTAATATGTGCACTCCATCAATATTTCACGCACCACGGTTCAGCATATGTGCAATTGAAATGGCATTCAAATTTTAACAATAAGCTTGATTTCTAAAGGTCTCCTTTTTTTTTATACACCCTGTAGTTCAGCATACTGTATGTGCAATTGAAAAGGCATTCAAATTTTAACAATATGCTTGAGTTCTAAAGGTCTCTTTTTTTTTATACACCCTGTATAGTAATACTACTATTAATAGTGCTATAGCTGATCAAATCTACACGGCCCCTATTGATAGCAGAAGCTTGTCTTTTGAAAGGGTAACCCTGTTGAAATAAAGGTTTTACATTACATTACATTACATTACATTACATTACATTAAGGATTTGGTATATTATATGTTATAGATAAAAGCATTAAAACGCTCCTTCCCCCCTCCAAGTTTCTTCTCAGTTTTGAAAAAGTTACAAAATTGGTCCTAAAGTGGAAGGATCTCTCCCTCGTGGGATCTTTCCCCTGTGTACAGTACGTGCTATTTAACCGAAATAACAAAAGCACGATTCAAAGTTATTCTTGAAAATTATAGGCAATGTGTGTGGTTACTGTTTGTGTACAGTTGGTAGTTTTTAAGTTAGAAATCACTCATGCTTATATATTTTTACAGAAATATATCAAAGCTAGACCTTCATCTTCGCATTTGCCATTCGTTATCCTTCCGTTACAAACACATTCATAGGAGCTGAGAGTATTGACACACTCAAATCCACTGTGGCATAAATATAGAGACGGGTTTTTGCACTCATCTATGTCTGGAGAAATAATGAAAAAGGGAAAGATCAGAACTATAGTAATCTTTCTGAAAATTCAGAACTATTAGAGCGATATCTATAATTGAAATACCTATATAACGAAATAGAAAAAAAAATAATGTACACATATTTGAGCAATTTGCACGTCAAGATAACACGTTCTGAGGTATATTTTAAGATTTGCAGCAATGTGTTGTAAAATAGTTTGCAAAATCTCGCAAAAACAAACTATTTTTTATTGCTGCAATTTAATCTTGACCTTAGAACGAAATAGTATGGAAATTGAAAGTTATCTGATAAACAACTTTCAGGAAAGGCATCAAGTCAATGCCTTCCCACACAGACCATACTCGGCAAAATCTCGCAAAAAACCGGAATGTATGTGCATGCTGACGTGAAGTGTCAAAAATTTTGACTCACGTTAGCAAATATGTTACAAGAAGAACAACTATAGTAAGTATAATGGTACATCATTATTTATAAAACTACAGTTTTTATTAATGTGTTGTGAGATGTATACAAACCTTGATAAATTTACCTTGTCAGATGTATACAAACCTGACTGGATGCAAACTGGTTGCTCTGCATCATTAGAAATACCTGCATTCTTCATGTACCTGGTATTCCACCAAAATATTCATGAAATAATAATCAGCACCTAAAAAATAAACATTCAGATTTAAATTTGATGCAAATGTACACGTTTCAATCAAAACTGCATCCCAGCGGGCAAAATGACGTTTATCCAATGTTGAATCAACGTTGGAAATGACCTTCCAGACGTTGGATAGACGTTAAAAAAGAGTTGACTATGCAAATTGGATCGACGTTACTGTTTCGACGTTGAAACAACGTTGAAATTAGGTTATCAATCTCGTCAACCATAATTCAACGTTGAATCCACGTTAAAACAACGTTGAGATTGGTTCACAAATCGACGTCGTACATTTAACCATGAATGAACGTTAATTCAACGTCTGTTGGCTGCTGTTGAACCAATGTTTGTAAAACAACGTCAGAGCAACGTAGATATTAGGTTGTCGACGTCGCAACCTTTTTCTACCAAATTTCAACGTTGAAACAACGTCGTGTGCCCGGTGGGATCTGACTCCTCAGTTGTATTTTTTCCTTGCAACACATAGTAACCCAATTTAAAACTTGAACCGAATCTTGAGCTCTTTACATGCAGTATATTTTGCACTATTTTAGTCGTTTCTAAATAAAATTTAGCGTTCAATATTGCTTCAAAACTTGTTGAATTCGTGTAGACAATTGACAGATATTTCCATAGGCAAACCAATACTGCGTGCGCATGATTGTATTGCACAATATGGCATACATCCTCGAAAAGTTGCGATATTCTTTTTGATCAAGCGAGAATCCAGCGCGTTATTTTAAAACTTGCATGGGGTAACGGGATATCACTACACGTATACTATGTTGTCTTCAGCGGTTTCGAAGCATCTCTCATTCAGTGCACAGGTTATTTGAGCGCGTTAAATCAAACAATAAGTCGCGAGGGTAGTATAAATTTGCACTGCTTCGTAGTACACGTAACGCAAACCAATAGGCCTTCCCAAGGTTAATGTGTTTGCACCGCTTGCAAAGTTAACGTATAGGGAATTCCTATATGTTTCCACCCCTTGCACTATTGTGTTTCATTATGGAAGGGTCTATTGAATACTATATTACTATTCATAATTTGCAAGTTCCCAGCAAAAAGACTTTTATTGTAATACGTGTATTCAGTTCCCAGAAACCGCTGGAACGATCCTTGCTGGCAACTATTCGTACACGATACGCAGAAGTCTTAGATAACATGAATAAAAAAGCCAAAAATTCGTTTTATTAGCTAATATTTCGCTATATATATACTGCTACAAGAAGAACGAAATAGACAGTACAGTGAAATTAATTACTATACAACATATAATCTTATTGAACTATATCAATTTCAACTACTTTACTTGTATTACATTTTCCTATGGCAAATATGGCATTCGTTTCATCAGGTATCTGCATGTTCAAGCTGAACTATAGAGATAAAACAGAGCAGGAATGTGCTAAGACACAGTAAGGTCAAATCTCGCAACCGTCTATTAATTAAATAAACATGAAAAGCAAGATTACCGCATTTACGTCTGTTTCTCGATGCTTCGTTTCGAACATGGACATTCTTGGCGCCAATATAGATAATATATGCACTCCATTATGCTTTTTATAGGCGCGGATGTGTTCTGCGGTTTTGCGTTTTGATTTTAAAAGGACAACCTAAACAGAATATATTGAATTTAGTGAATTAAATGTCAGAACGAAACGAAGCTTATCATAGATACAAATATAAGCAATTATACTCCTCCTCCTGTACTCCGCAGTTGCCTGCGACGCACATTCCATGAATTTAGTTGATTCCGATAACCTGCGAGGAGCAGGTTTGAATGACAACGCGAGTTCACTGTGGATATTAAATAATGTGTGTATATGTATGATATTACATGAAAGACAATCCGTGGTGACAATATGGTAGCCAAGTATTGCTTCGATGTCCTAACAATTTTTGATCAGCTATAATTTTTAATGTAGTCTCTCTTGTAAATTTAACATATTTTGTATTCTATGTACCAGCTTTGTTTTGAATAAAGTTTGCCAATATTTGTAAATTACATTCGAATTTCAGTATTGAAGTTAGGCCTACGATGTTTTCGTGCAATCTAAATTTCTGGGTGTTACTATAGAACATGGTGTAATCATTGCAGCTCTGTAGATACCGATTTGTTAGGAAAACACAAAATAGATTGACCAATCGTTATAGGTGCATGTTCCAAATATATACTTATTCGTCTTATTGGGCGTATATTTAGTGTTTCACTAACACAAAATGGTATAAACATTTACACTAAATCAGTGCGTGCAGAGCTGCAATGATTTATACCGCTTTCGTGTTGTGTACCAACAGCCAGTGCGTTAAAATATCATCTGCTTTAAATTTTAATTAAAACGTATGGTTCCGCAATATCGCATACCACAAACAAATACATCGTAAACAACTGAACATAAACCAGCAATAAATACCAAGTTACGATCATAGGTTATTTTAAATTATGTTGTAATTGTATGTGACTTACAATACTTACAGTATTTACAAGAGATCTGACAGGCTGCGCATTTGCTTGAGTTCGTCGAATCTTTGGCAAATATTATATACAACCAACTATAACCATGCATGTTGCGAAGCATAGCATAATCGAGTCACCCGCTCGCGATTTCTGTCTGGTATTGCAATAAAGGACGATCAATGGTACAAGTTTATAGTCTACTTACATATTCAAATGTCCAATAGTGATATTGCATAAAGCAGAAGTTGGCAGCTGTGACAAGCTATTTCCCCGAAGTACGCGTAGCACGAATGAAGAACGTAACATGAACTCTCGAATTTTAGCACATTTGAATATTCCCTGTGGAGCGGAAGCTGATATGGCTTAAAGGATTAGTGTCACACCAAGAATTCCCGAGCTCAAACTCTAGGGACGGCTATGATCTGGGAGGTTTTTACAATCCATCATATGTTTAATTAAACCATCATGTTACAATCCTCGCTCCAGTTTTGTCTGATGTTTGTCAGAAATGTACCAAACAAGGTATTTTTGTTGCTATTTGTTATACTTCAGTAAAATGTAAACAATAACAAAAGCGCGCAATGCATGACCCTAGTCGCTTTGCCCGCGCGGGTGGAGCGACCAATTTTAATTACGTAAAAAATCAGTGTCGCGGGCACGCCAAGAAAGTTGAATGTAGTTCTACTTTCATTGCGCGTCCGCGAGCAGTCAGACGGACAAAAAATGTACATATCTTCGGTTCATATCTTCGCTTCAGTAAATGCTATGTAGATGAAATTTTAGTCAATGTCAACATTTGGTTTAGGGTACCTGCAGGGTAGGAATTGCTGCAGGCATTAAAACGAAATAGAACTACTGTAAATAGAACAAATTATATCAAGCACAGTTATTACTTGAAACGACTAGTGAGGCAAACAGCTGTGGGCCTTAATCCAGTAAAGGCCCTGTTAGTTACACGGTGCATTTCATGCAACTTGTCTCCCAATGGCGCGTCATTGCACCGTTTAACATGACTTGCAATGATAAAAATCTTTGTGAGACAAGTTGCATGAAGAATTGCACAGAATAGAAGTCGGTTTTACTTTTGGCAACGATTGCACAAAAGTATAAGATGATTATAAACTAGGAGTTACTATCGCAAGAAAAATGCTGCCTTTTTTGCCACATGAACTGAATGCAAAACCACTCTAAAGGGGAGTTTACTTTTGACCCAATGAACTTATTCTTAAATTGCGTGCAGGGGCGGATCCAGGGGGTAGCAAGCGTGGCTTGAGACACGGTCAGATTTTTGAGATCGTCATATTCTCTAAATTGGTCTATAAGGACGGAAGCGATCGTTATTTATACGTATAAACGTCCCAAACATTACAACTTCAAACAGATATATACTCCTGGTCCAGCGTTATAGACGGCCGGCCAAGTCATCAATTTGTACAACTGGATGGCAACTTTATGTTAGAAGCTGGTAACATGCATTTTCCTATAGTTCAAGCCTTGGTGAACAAGACTACATGTGTTACCACTTCTGATTTTTGCTTTATAGCCAAAAATTTGAGAATTTTTAAATTTTGCCTATTAAATTACTATGATCGGAAAAAATGTAAAATGTCATGTTCTCTTATACGAAAAATAAACTATACCACTAGAAAGAGCGTAAAAAGCTATATATAAGACAATTAAGTGAGTTCTACGTTTTTCCAATCCTATTTCGAGGTTTTAATGTTAAAAAATGCAGAAATGACCAAATTAATGCTAATTAGTACCCATTTTGCCAACTTTAACCATCTTTAATTCAAAATCGGCTTGAAAATCGCACTAGTCGCTTAATTATCTTATTGCGACCAGCGAGCGAGCACCAGCGAGCGAGCTGGGAGCATCCTAATCTGTGCGTAGAAAATTTAAATATACCGCTGAGTTCGGATTAGCCCCGGCTCAAGATTCACCGATTCACCTCGGCTTGCATTCCATATTTGGAACATATTTCCATATTTGGAAGACCGCATGAAACGGTATTTCCGCCGCTGTTATGCCGCCCAGTGTTTTATTTACTCATCGATACTGATGCAATTTTAAACATGTACCTTTAACTTTTGTTCATCAAATTGTACATCAAATGAAGCTTAACTTAGCATCTACTAACTGTTGTAAGTCTCTGTTATTGAAGACAGATTTAAATAATCAAAAAGATTAAATGCTGTGCATGAGGATGTTGTGATGTATACAAAGAAACGTCTGTTGTTTGAAAGTCATGTGCCGGGCTTTAATATTTATCTTTAAATTGCGCTTTGTCAATCGGTATTGTTATTGACACTTCATGCTATTCATAGAAGGCGACTTTGCGCCGTAGCGACAATATAATCACAAATTTAACTATTTGTTATGTAATTTGTAGCAAGTGACGTAATTGGATACCAATTAGAGGGGGGTAATGGGGGGGGGTACCGATCCTGAAGCACGAAAAATAATATGCAGCGATCTTGAAGCATGAAAAATAAAAGAAGGAAGTCCTGAAGCACGTAAAATAAATTTATTACGAATCTGAAATGTAAAGTGAACATGAAATGTAAGCAACAATCATACTTAGAAGTCTTAAAGATGAATATAAACAGTCTGTACTAGGCGGTGTGTTCACCTATTTGTTTACAATTGCGTCGATGTTTATGATTTATATAAACTTTGAAACCTCCGTTCCCCAATCAAAACATAGCTAAAATCCAGAAACAAAATTAATGGAATATATTGTCCAGAAACGAGAAATAACCGTCTTTAAATACAGCTGAAAACGGAGAACGGATATTGAATACACCGGAAGCACGATACACGGCATCCATGTCGAGATCGAAAAACGTTTAATAAAAAGATGACTGAACGAAGAACGAATAATTTACCCGAATACGCAGCACGAAAATACCCCATTACCCCCCTCCAATTAATCAAGTTGATATTTTGATAAATTTATCTAAATTGGATATTCAGTGTAAATGGGCCGACTTTTATTATATAATGAGCAATATTTGCCCATATATTATCGCCACTCCTTTGCATAAACTTGAAAAGTTGTTACTGTTTTTTATTTTGAATATATCAATAGACAATATGAAATTGAAAGTACCTTGTCATGTGCATGTTTATTTGACGCAAATCGTTATATAAAAAATAAAAAAAACCCGACCGACCGACTTTTGGCAAAAGTAAAGGATGATCACCAACAATCTGGCCAAAACAGCGTGAGCCGGCGCGTTGTCATTAGTGACTAAAGTCTCCAGGTCGCACTTTTTAACCTGTGGTTACGCCTAGTATATATTTTTTTTGCGATCTTTCTAGTGGTATAGTTTATTTTTTAGTAATTTAGTAATTTAATAGGCAAAATTTTAAAATTCTCAATTTTTTGGCTATAAAGCAAAAATCAGAAGTGGTAACACACACAGTCTTATTCACCAAGGCTTGAACTATAAGAAAATACCTGTTACCAGCTTCTGACATAAAGTTGCCATCAAACTCTCTTTATAAAGGCACTTTTTGCCACCTTGGCCGGCCAACTATTACGTATTACTGGTTTTTTTTTTCAAACAAAATCGCGAAATAAAAACGTAAATATCTCAAAAGATGATGCGCTGTAAAAGGTTCAAAACATTGGGAAAACCCACTGGGAAAACCCCGCACTTGCTGGATATTAAATGTTTGCCACGACGATAACCGAGAACTACTCGAAGTTGATCATTTTTAGTTCGGAAAATGTTCGTCAAATGCGACTGCGATTTTGAGACACGGTCCGCGGTTTTGCTGTTACTAAATATAGTAACTTCTTGACACGGTGGAGCGTGTCAAGCCAATCACAGGCCGAGATTTTGTCACGTGAGAGTTGTGGAGTACTGTCAGTATCTACTAATGTCTCTTATTAACCGCCATTGACTGGAAATGCTCCATACTTTATTAGTTACTGCCTATCCACTAGCTTATAGGAAGCAATTTTGTATTTTGGGGAGCTCCGGAGCTGATTAGTCAGAGGCGATTATTAGGTAATTATATCCCTCTCAAACTTCACAGATTATCGCTAGTTTACAAATTTTTTTTTTTTTATTTTTTTTTTTTGGGGGGGGGCGGGGCTGAAGACCACAGACCCCCGGTTGCTACGGCCCTGCTATCAACACCAGACAATTTTACTCGTCAGTGCCAGTAAACGGCTTAATTTCTCGTCACCCCAATTTAAATTTTACGATTGTTGTTGTTTCTAATTGTAGATATCTCAGCAAGTATTCCCCCGCCTTTAAAACAAAAAGCACCGTTGTAATTCTGACAAATTAGCCTTTTCAACGTACGGGGGGGTCAGATGCCTTCAAAACATTACACAAACCAAAACAATCATGTATTTACGAGAAATAAACGTGAATATCTTTTAGACTCTTCAGAATTTGCTCAGAGAGTCAATCAGGGACGTTGTGGCCCCTAAATTAAAAACATTGCAAAAGATAAAAAACATAGATTTTAATTCTGAAAATCAAGATTAACGGATATTACAATTTAATTTAAAAAATCTAAATTTACGAAAACATTACTGAAATGTTTCATGTTTGATCAGTAATACCCCCCGCCCCAATCTTGATCCATCCCGTTACTGGGCCTGGGCCGCATCAGACGTTGCTCATTCGTCATTCTTTTCAAGACCCCAGCACGTCGCTGGAGTCAATGTGAGTAAGATACTCCTTGTATTAAAGCGCTTTCGTGTAGGAAGTTTCGTTTGAATACGGCGAGTAGAAATATTTATTTTGAATTTTTCATAATATCGGGTTTTTACTCGCACGCGTGCGCCACGTGTATGCTTGGTCCATATATAGCCCGATGCACGTGCAAACTATGCCACTGGGAGTACTTTGACCTGTAGAATCGATTTCCGGTTTTTCCAAACGCCTAGGATGTAAACAGCTGTTTTGATGTACGTTTCACGGGCCGCGCTAAAAATATAAATATTCTGTAAATACCGAAATAAAAAATGAAAATCTGAAGACACAAGCTTGAAAATAACACTGTGAATAATGTTGTGGATTCTGGTTCGAATGAGACTATTACGAAAAAGATATGTCCAAAGGGGCCGAAGTTATGTTCGGCGAAATGTATTGCTAGTTTACATTGTTCGTTTATATATAATGAAATATGATACCATACCTTACTTGTTAAAATTCGCGTCGTACTATTATTGTATTAATATTATGCAAATGAGAACCATGCAATAAGTGTTTTAGTTCTTGTTATTTTAAACGCACGCTTTATCTTTACTACCACAACGTTTTTCGCACGGATTATATTTCCGCAGTGCTAAAATTTGCTCACCCAGCGCTGCGCGAATTCTAGTACTGCGCGAATTTTAATACTGTAAGACATTATACATATTGTGCCATTTTGGACATTTGACTAATGTCAAAATAAAATTATAATGACAATACATTACTCGACTTTGAACAAACAATAGTTTATAAATTCTTAAAGCTAGATTACAGTCCATTCTGCGCATGTGTCAAAAATGTAAACAAATGTGAGCACACTTGTTTTGATTTTGTGTGCTCCCCAGTCCTTATTCGGATACGCGCGTTCATGTGAGACACTAGTTGAAAAGGATTTTACTACATCCCGGGCGTTCTTTGTCAGTGCCCGCGATCACAATTAGAATTACCAGCGGTTGAGTTCGCAACTCAATATTCAAACATTTTCAACCAGATAAAAAAAGATTAAAACTTTTTTAAGGCACTTTAGATTTTATACCGATCCCAAACACTAACCGGCCTAACTTTTAAGAGTTAAAAAAGGAAGGAAGAAAAAAATTACAAAAAATTGAGAAAAAGAGCTAAATCAGATAATAAACGTTCGGCATCGATCCCGACACCGACTGCGTTTCACTTTCGGTACGCAGCGCCTTTACCGCTTGAGCTAACGACAAACTTGTGAAGATTACCGCAAACAAAAGTTTTTATATTGCTACAAAATACGAAATAACTCCCGTCTGTCCAGTCACTTGGTTATTTTTTATTTGAGCTGCTATAAATGTTACTAGCTCATATAACATCTGTGAAATTAGTGCTAAAACATAAACAGTTTTGTCAAAAAATAAAAAGGCAATATGTCTGGATCAAATAAACTGACTAGAAGCAAACTGATATCTTGAAATATAGATTAACATGCTGACAAACTGTTACAGTTTAATCAAGTTATAAATTCACATCGAGTATTATATAATTTATATTTGGCTTTTAAGATGTTTTCTTTCAAACATTGTGATTTCAGGAAACACTCGATGTTATCATCATATACCGCTGATAATACTAATTGTGATCGCGGGCACTGACAAAGAACGCCCGGGATGTAGTAAAATCCAGTTGAAAATGGCCGACTCGCAAGAGTTAGAGCCATCTACTTCGACAGAGAATCCTTCAAACGCTGATCGCCAAAACAAACCAGCTGATCGAAAAGCATATTTCGCAAAAAGAAATGCATCCAAAGTGTGTTTGAATACCTCTATTGAGCGGTGGAAACGGCTGAAAGAGGAAAATGATATCAAGAGTGATCAGGAGTTTGCGGATATTCTGCTAAACTTGTACGAGGTATCAGGACATCATTCATCGATTCAAATGCGGTAAGCATGTAACTCTGGACTTTTTTAGTATGCTCATTTTGTTGCATTTTCTGATTACAAAACTTTATGTTGCATTTCTAGCGCTGTGGAAACCCAGACAAACGATCCAGATGAAACAATGGAGTCATTGTTTGGCTTTGACATGGGCCTCATTGCTACAAGTACCCCTCAGAATTTCGGCAATAATCCTTCGCCACGTGAGTTTATAACATACTTATTCATGGACATATACAGAAAACATTCATTAGATTTTGGTTGACGTTGTTAATTTATTAATTTTATATTTTGCATAGTTTTATCTGTCCCTTCGAATATGTCAGCTGTATCAAGTCGAAGACGCCTGATACCCGATAGTTCCCCGCTTGGCTCCCCGCCAAGATTTGTATGATTTATAAAATGATATCTTTAAATGGTGCATTTCTCTATGGTATATATTCGTTGTTATCTCGATAATGTCTTCATAGGCATACTCATGATGAAACACTGACAGCCAGTGAAGTTGACAGTGACAGTGACAGTGAGACCCTTACTGCTCATGGTTTATCTTCTGTCCATGTAACGCAAGAGTAAGTCTGATTTAATATTTGGTTGGCATAACGCAAATGAATGGTTGACAGGTTTTGTTGATGGAAATGATATATTAAAAAATTATATACATTTAGTAGACCTAACCAGGAACAGCTGCGAAAAATGCAACTACAAGACCTGTAATGTCATTTTCTGCATCTGTTCCTGGTTAGGTCTACTAAATGTATATAATTTTTTAATATATCATTTCCATCAACAACGTCCCTCAGTAAAATTTAATACCATTCTACAGTAGACTAACAAAAAGTTCGGAACTCTGCATTTTG